CAGCCATGGTGCCCTTCTGGATCAAGCATTGCATTGCAGTGGTTCTGCTCCTACGTGGTCAGCTGATTCCAGAAACTGGGGTTTGGGAGTGCCATAGCAGTGAAGGTTCCATTGTACTTTATTGTACTTCCATTGTACTTTATTTCACATCCTCATGAAATTGCTGGGGTAGGTTATCTGGAGGGGTGGGCACCATCAATATGCAGATGACACTCAGTGCCACCTCTCTTGTTCATCGAACCCGGGTGAGGCAGTGGCCGCTCGGTCAATGTCTGAGTGTGGCAATGGACTGGACGAGGGCCAACAAACTGAGAGTCCATCCAGACAAGACGGAGGTGCTGTTCATGGTCTGTCCAGTTGGGTGATACTCAACCTATTCTGGATGGGGTTGCACTCCCCCTAAAGGACAAGGTTTGTAGTTTGGTTTGGTGACATCCGTTGAGGCGGGCACTCAGAAAGGACAGCGAAGCGGGGCTGGCATAGCCAGAAGATGATAGGAGATTCATAGCCAAATAGCAGCAGCAATAAAATGGAAGGAAGGAGAGCAGGTTTTGGCCACTGGTTCTGGACCTAGAAGTTCCATCTATTGATATAGAAAAGAATAGCTCATAATAGGAAAATAGATGTTTGCTAGGCCTGAATGGTGATGCCATCAAATCAGATTTTCAAAGCCAGTGTGATATAGTGGTTACAGTGTTACACTGGGACTCAGAAGTCCCCAGTTGGCCATGATGCTGAATGGGTAACTTTAGATCAGTCACTGACTCAGCCAAACTGACCTTACAGGGTTGTTGTGAAAATAAAAAATGGCATGGAGAAGGATCGTGTAAGTCACCTTGGGTTCCTTGCAGGAAAAAACTGGGCTATAAATTAGATATGGGGGAGAGAGGGAGAGAGAGCACTGCAAAGTATCACACTTCTAGCTGCACCCTTCCCCTGTGTTGTCCACCCAACCTTGGTTGGCATTGACACTGTCATGTTTCCCTTTATGCGCCTTTTTTCTAAGCTGAACAGTCCCAGTTGTCATAGCCGCTACTCAGAAGGGAGCTGCCCCAGCCCTGTGATCATTTTCGTTGCCCTTCTCTGTACTTTTTCCAACTGAATAATGTCTGCTTTAGGTGAGATGACCAGAACTGGACACAATATTCCAAGTGGATGCAATGTTATATATCAGATAATAGAATTATATTATGGACTATAATTAGACCTCATTCCTCCAAAGTTCCTTTGCTCTGCTTTTCAGTTCCAGAAGGATGCTCATTCACCTGCAAACTGAAGCCAGAGATTGCTTTATACTGCAGTTATTATGATGTGCGGAGTAGGATTAGGTTCTTTTAGTTAAAGTGTAAAATGAAGAGATCACTTAAAAGAACCTGGAAATGTATCTATCCTAGGTTTACCTTTGATCTTCTGAAGCAGCCATTGTATTCACAACCACAGGGCTCTTCATTTTCTCTAGTACTTAATGGAATAGCCCAAGAGGACTAGTAACACTGCTGTGCACACCTCAGTTGGCCAGCTGGCAGGCCAGCCGACCACCTAGGCTGTAACTGAGGCCTGATTTCTCACTGGGCCGGTTTGCATACGATGGCAACCCATCCTGGTGATTTACTCATGATGGTTTGCTGATCGGTCTGTTGTGAGCGCTTTGTTCTCTCCCTGCTTCTTCCTGGCAGTATCCCAGTGGATACTGCAGTGAGGAATGGATCTTGTCTCTCTGACAGCCAGGACTGCAAGCCAATTTCCACTAGCTGTGGCTGCCAGAGGATCCCCGTTGCACAAGCAGAGCTCATGCCCTGAAGAACAGGGCGGTGAACTTCCATGCTCGGCTGAGGGAACAGGCAGCACGCAGCCCCCTGCCTGCGGTCCGTGTAAGGCTGAAGGCTGACCCTGGCACAAGCCCCGTTTGGCCACAGGAACAAAGAAGAGTAGTACTTTAAGGCATCTTCTTTATCCCTGCTTTGCAGGCAGGGCTTGCATCCTGAAACGCAATGGTGAGAACGGAGGGTTTCCCTGAGCTCTGCTTCATACGACTGGCCCCAGCTTGGAGAGGTCATCCCCACACACCGCTCAAGGGGTTCCTCTTAAGCAGGAGGTGGGGAAGGCCGAGCTGCTCTGCAGGAAGCAGAAGGGGGGCTGCTCTGTGCAGCTGCCTGTACTCAGGGTAGCAGTGTGGAGCAGATGGGACACCTCCACCTCTAGACAAGGCTCTCAAGCAACAGGCTAGGATGGGTGACACTTCCACCCTGAGGCCCGAGCCTGAGCAGCAGGGGGACAGAGCAGGGACAGAGGAAGCCTCTGACAGCTGCCACCCAAATCGTGGGTTACGGCACAGTCATTAATGGTGAGATTCAGGCTGGCTGTTTAAGTTATCCTCCCACTGCCAGCACATGTGATACAGCAGTGCTAGTTATGCTGCTGATGTGACTTTAAAAACAACCACCACCACCCGAAGTTTTGAAGCTGAGGTCTAAGGAACTGTCTGCCACATTTACAATAAGATTCCAAATTAGACCTCACTGCTAGGAAATACTGCCTCGGCTATACAACTTTTAACTACTGCAACCAGAATAGACAGGAATAGGGTTGGAAAACTCCCTAAACTTTCTAATAAGAAGGAATAGATGCTGCACACCTAGGATTTCAGAAACTTCTAGCGAAAATTTATCTTGGTAAACATACAATAGGAGCCTAAAATGTTATGTATAACTTGGTTAAATTTAAAAGTATAGTTTATTCAAACAATAATTACAAATTTAGAAACTGGGTTACTTTTGCATGTGTAATCTTATGATAATTTTATTAGCAAACCAAGTTATGTGTACACATCTTATGTTCCTAAAGCAAGGCCCCTCAATCCGGTGCTCTCCAGATGTTTTGGACCACAGTCGCACTGTTAGCCATGCTGGCTGGAACTGATGTCTACAACACGGGAAGACTATCAGGCTGGGGGAAGGCTTTTGTAAAGTAATAAAATGACTTTAGAGTTACAACAAGGGCTTTTAAAAATTGCCTATTTTTCCTATTTTCTCACCAAATTCACTTCCGCACACAAGTGCCTGGAAAAAAATGCAGTTTTCTTCCCTATGGTTTCAATAATTTTCAGTTTTCTACTTCACATAGATTACATTATGTACTTCCATAGCATATATTTTAGGCAGTATCAATTAAAATCAACAAGGAGTCCCTAATGAAGTCCCCCTTTAAAGGATATATAAGGACATACCAATTTCTGGTTAGGGCAAATGTATGTTTTTGTATATATGCCACTGGATTGTCAAATAATCAGACAAGGACTTTTAATTTTTTCCAGAAAACAGTCTCTGCAAATATAAAATCTGCTCAAATGTTCATTTATTTACACAGTAAGCCTAATATTATGAGGAAAAAAACCCCTGTGATATGCACTGTGGTTGCCTCCTTAGGAGCTATGAACATTTTGGAGAACTTGTCAAATAGAACAACAAGACACTTAAGTGACATGACATTGATTGGAACCCCTCACTGACATATTGACACTTAAGAATCTACATATAGCTGAAGCAATTTCCATTTTTTGCTTGCATTAAAATCTCTAGCACTATCACCTTTATAGCAAAATAGGACCAGATCCTTAGGGTAGCATCCAAGATGGCTGCCTGTAACTCTCCAAATTCAGGGGATTGTGGGCATCCAAAAGAGTGCAGGATGAGCAAGAAGCAAGGACCTCCTTTGCAAAAGACACAGATGGCCAGTTTCAGCTCTGTATGTTTTCCTCTTGCTTGTGAAGATGACTGGTTGAAACACCACTGGAATTCCTGTTCTCCATGCCCCATATATAATCTTGAATGTTTCAGTTTTTGCCAGTAAATATATTTGAGGAAATGCTTCAAAGAAACTTGCTTCCAAGTCATTAGATTCTATAAGACTTCCAAAGTGTATTACTATGCCTTTTTGATGTTTTTATGTAGTGTTTAGGATCTAAGAGTAAAAAACAACATAAAAGAATGGTGTTTCACATCAGGAAAAATGCAGAGATGTGAGTTCTTGCTCAGCAAACTTGCATGAACTAGCATTTTGGGATTTGGAATCCAGCAAGATTGTAGATTTTAAGCTGATGTGCTAAACCAATTTGACTATGGGAGAAATACCATCAAAGTCAACATAACTACGTATTTGACAGGTGGTATATTTTCTCTTCACAGCGTCTCTTTAAGGCTCCATTGGTCCTTCCCAAAATCTCGTAATTTTGTATTATTTGTGCTCAGCATCAAGCAATCTCTGAAATCAAGTATCCTTGCACCCTGATACTATATGGTTAGCCACATTCAAAATCAATGTCTAACTATGCGCAAGATCAGCCTACAATGATGCATGGCACTGGATGAATTCGTATAAATTTTCAGATGCAATGCTTAGGGTCAGGACTTTTATGATTTCCCCAAAGCTATGATGGCCAGTCCGCTTTACTTCTGCCGCATGCTGGTTGAGTTCATCTTTCTTACAGTTGGAAGTGTGAAGTTCTCATCATATACCTGGGAGCTGTACCAAGTCAGATCATTGTTCAGTCCAGCCCAGTGCGATCCACTCAGAGTGGAAGGAAGTCCCCAGGGTGGCACGTGAGATGCTTTCAACAGGAGATGCCAGGGATTGATCCAGGAACTTTTTACATGTAAGCAATGGCTCAGCACTGAAGCGACTCCTCAACTGAGCATCCGTGTTCATTCACTGACTCATTCAGTGACTACACAGATAGCCCAGTGCACCACACTGGCTAAGAGGCAGGTAGGGGACTAAGTGACCAGTGTGTGTCTCCACCACTGGATGGTCCACAACCAGGTTCAACTAGTTGGAAAAATTTCTGCATGCCCTGATCTGGTGACCTCACTTTGCATTGCTTTTTCATTATTCTGATCTCATTTCTTCCTTCTAAATCATTACAGTGGAAAATACTCTTGTGGTGATCTTACACTAGCTCAGAACATAATACCACATATGGAAGAGGAAGATGACAGAAAAGCTTGTTTACCACCAGTATTTTATAGGTGATATCTAATTATAAAGAACTCAGTTTGGAGAAGACATATATATGTTGAAAAGCAAACTGGTGTTAAAAATAAAATGTGATACAGTCCTGAAAGCATAAATTACTATGCTACACAGGCAAAGCATTTAAAAGTAGATATATTTATATAATTGTTTAAAAATTTCTTTAAAACCTTTACAGTTTCTCCTCCAACAATACACACATACAATACTACAATGCACACTGAAAAAATTCTTTCATAATTCCATTAATATTGTACAGAAAAGTTTTAATGTTAAACAAAATCCTTCATCAGATAGAAGCACTGAAGAAAATGTTGCCACATATTTGTTTCAAATTCCCAAACACACAACATTGCTCACATCTGTAAACATATCAAGCAATAAGAGATCATGCTTTCTTCTACAACAAAGTTCAGTCCTTCGCTTCCTTCATTATGTAGGAACCCACATCCTTTAGTTTACTGTAACAATATAACTGGAACACAACTTCTGCATAGGAGCTTTGAATACATAAAAAGGATTACAGGCTTGAAACTGGAAACAGAAGGTAGGTGACTGGCATCCATTGTTTGATTACAAAGAAGTGTGACACGTCCTCATCTCCAAGCATTGGGCTCTGTTTACTAGAAAAATGCTCAAATTCTGCTCATCTGCAGAATAGTCAGCAACACCAATTTTAGAGTTCCCTCTGTGCAGACACTGGAGAACACCCAAGTTCAATGCAGAGCTTTCTACTGAGGCATGGGCATGCTCTTGGGTGTCATCCAGACATCTTATGACATATAATAGAAATGGAAACATCTGTCTCAGAAGCACTTTGGCTTCCTCCATGACTTGACTTGACTTTCTGATACTTGTCAAAGAACTCCATCCACTAGCATCTGAAAGAAAAGTGAATCTTCCTACCCACTGTTAGTGCAGATAAATCTAAACTCTTACACTGTAAGTGCAGATCATGAGTGATTTAATTTTTTAAGGTGCAAATAAGGAAGTAGTTCAAGTTTTGTGGCCTCCAGAAATCATACTGAACCACAAAGAGGGATGTGGTAAGGTGAACACAGAGTTTGCCTTTATTCTTCTAGTATCACTGGCCTGATACACTTTCCTAACATGTGTTCAGTTAACTTTTTGTCTTGTGGCACCTACACATGTAAGCAGTGTGTTTTTTCATGTGTTCTTAAAGGCTTTCTAATCCATTTACTGTCCCTTAGGAAACGTTGAAACACGTCACAGGCCCATCTTCAGGTATCAATAAAGCAACCACAAAGGTTCTGCTCCATCTGCCTGGAAAATTTCCATACTACATTTTGGCAGGTGGGCCCTAGTTTTTGTTTAGTTACCAGACTATTCTGCATGCGCATATAACTGTGCCGAGGCAGAGAGAAGGTCTATGGTGCGGCATTCCTCACGAGGGTGCGTGGCAATGAGAGCGATGCAGTGGCCAATTAAATTCTGCTCACTGCACAGATACTATTAAAGGCAAGGAACTGTAACCCAGACAGATTTTTTTCCCCGAAATGGCAGCAGATATTCTGTTCCTAGGATTTCACAGGTGAAACAACCAGACATTCTGTATCATTTTCATTCAAGAAGGAAATTATTAGTGAGCAGTGCAGCTGCTCCAATACACTGGACTCATTCCAGAAAAGGAGCTGGTTAATCTGTTGCTGCAAAGATGACAAAGGATACAGTCCTTCACAGAACTAAGTATACTTAAACCTGTCGAGATTAATGGATTTAAGGACACTTAACACTGTGATGCATCACGACCAAAGAGTTTCACGTCACCTTAAGAAGCTAAGGAGACTTTAGAGGCAAGAGTCTCTTGTTTCTTCGCAAACAGTCCTATACAATCCTATCCACTCATGTCAAGAAAATAGCACCAACAGGGGCTGTTATGCTCATTGGCTGGGTAAACATTTGCGGTGAGAAAATGTCCTCTTTTCTGTCCCACAGGAGGTAATAAATTGAAATTACAGATTATACTTCTTGGCAGAAACACTGGTCAGGCAGTATACTGGTACTGCTGCTTGTTCTGTTATCACTGGTGATATTTTGGTGCAGCTGTCTCCAACATGAAAAATAACTCTCATCATCCCCAGCCACCAGGGGCACAGGGAATGATAGGGGCAGTAGTACAAGAGGTCAGGAGAAAAACGGTTTGGAAACGGCTATTTTAGTGCCTTTGGTCCCTAAATTCTCCCCCAATACACGACTTAGCATCTGCTAGTATTGACAGTTGTGCTTTGTAAGTTCCCACATCAGAGACTTACCAAGACTAGGGGTACTTTAACTCAAATGCCTGTATGAGCCCCTGAAAATTAGTTGCTCACCTCCTCCAGTTCAGAAGAAGCTCTTGCAAATGTAACTTTCACCCCTGCATTAAGATGTGCACAGTCTATCTGGAGTTACCTTTTTGCATTATTTTGGCAATTTTCATACACACAACACTTTGCATATGGGAAGGAAATGTGCAGATCTACTCTGCTAAGTCTGCAGAGGATTCTTTTATAACTCATGCACAAGACGTTCCAAAACAGAGTTCTGTGCATGCAAAATGGAAAAGTGGATTTGATCCTTTTTAAAAAGAAAACAAATGTAGCAGAGTCCCATCGGAAGCTTGGTACATGAAAGACGATTAAATTCAGGCTGGTATATAATGCATGTCTGAAGACAAACATATTTCATGTGGGTTTTTTTTTGGTTTTGGCCTGTCAGAAGTGAGAAGTTCAGGCAGGTGGTCTCAGCCTCTGTGTTCTTCCTGGCACAGCATGGTCATTCTATGTCGGGCAGCTACTGCTACTTGGTGGTGGTGGGAGAAAAAGGTTTAAACTGCTTTCAGTTTAAAAGTGCATCTCATTCACGCTATATGGTCTTAGTTCAGGAAATGATTTGATAAGAAATGGGAAGAGGATGGTAAGCATTTGCCATAAATGCCACAGCTCATAGCCATCATTTTCAAAATGGCAAAAAAGATGATGTTGCATTTTTGATCCAATGTCCGAAGTGCACTGAAATAATGGCATAAATATCCCTCTGTAAGATTATTTTAAACAAAATTTTAACAAAAATAGTAAAAACATAGCCATAGACAGAGCACCATGCAGAACATAATTTCAGAAGGAAATTCTGTAGATATGAAATCTACTGTAGATTTCAGCCACTGTGGCCTAGCCTAATGTGTCTCCCACCCTGCATCCATTTCCTTTCACAACCTATTCCCCAAGAACATTCCCTCGGTGAACTACGTGGAATTGCAGAAGCATAATAACTGAACATGAGCACTTAGCCAAATTTGCACATAATGGCAATCCATGAATGACCAAACACATTGCCTCCCCTGCATGGATGACTTTGCATCAGCTTGCCAAAACTACCCAAGATGCCCCTGTTCTGGGGTTGCTGGTTGTGCCATCCAAGCCTGGCACTCAAGATGGGAAATGAGCCCTTGTTTCTTGATGGGCACTTCTAGGCTTCAACAAGCCAATGCAAAACAGACATAAGAAGTAGGAGGGAGACAGTTGTGCACTCCTTACAGCCTCATTGATTCAATGATATTTTTTTTACCCATGAATGGCTGATATGCACCAATCAGGTCTTTTCTTAGGCAGTTCCACTTCACTCCAATGGGACTTACAGGGACATCCCAGTGGAATTACAAGCTCCTGTGTGCACCTGGACAGCAGCAGCAGATGCAGCCGCGACAGCACCCTTGTTGCCAGGAAGATGACAGTCAGCCTGGTCTCCACGTGGCAGCGCAATGCAGCCATGCTGAAATTCCCTCAGTGTTGCCTTTGTCCCACAGCAAGGAGCTCATTTCCAGATTATCTATCCCCGTAGTAGTATTCCTGCTGGAAACCAGTTTTCCTGTGGCTGGCTCAGGGGCTACTCTGCAAGCTTGCAAATGTTTGAACCACACAGGCACTTGCCCAGATGCTAGTCCCAAGTTCCAACATACTATGAATGTTTAGAACGTAAACAGAACAACAAGGATGCATTCAATGAGGAGTTAAGCATTGCCCTTCTCAGCCATTTAAGACTTAAGTGACACCTGAAAGCATAATCAGCACCATCATTTTCAAGTGCAAAGAATGACTTTGAAGACAAGACAGGAATTCCTTCTCATAGGATTACACAGCAAAACGCAGAGTTCATACAATATCTGCTGCTACTCACTTCAAGCCACTTGCTTTCCTGGGCAGCTGAAACTTAAAAATAATGGCCTAATGTACCAAATACCATCTCTCTTTACCCTGAAAGGTCCTTTAGATCAATGAGAGTTGTCCAGCCTCTGGGTCCTGTGATCTCTCAACAAGGGAACAGGATTCAAATAACCTCTCACAATCATTTCGAAAGAATTCTGATTGCACTTTAAAAATGTTTAAGCTGTTCAATCATAGCCTCTTTCATTACCACCACACTCATAGGACAATCGACTGTGCTTCCAGTGGGACCCACTGCTAGTAGCACAGGGAGACAATGGTTCTTAAAGCAATCGGAAACAGCTTGTCCCTCTGCTGACACATCTTGGTCTGGGAAAAAACATTGCTTTGGAAAGTGTTAGCTCTCTTGTTGAGCTGGGGGAGGGCCCTGCTGGAGCAACGGAATGCCAATGAAGTTTGTGTACACTGTTAGATCAGACCACAGCAAGAACAACCTGGCAGTTTGGTTTAATCTGCAGCTGTCCATACAATCCTAGCTATGTCTACTCAGAAGTAAGTTCCATTTAGTTCAGTGCGGCTTCTTTGCTGCTAAATGTGTACAGGACAGCATCTTAAAACAGTCAAACTTCCTTTTGTTAATATGCCCGAAGAGGACAAGATAGAAAGATGAAAACCAGTCAAAAGATATTGCTCTGATTATAATCTGAAGTTGGCCCCAATGTTGACAATCACCCGACTTTCATACTCTTTCTTCACAGTTCTCTCAATCTGTTTCAGAAAAACCTGTGGAATTCTCCCACATAAAGTATGCACCGTATCGAGGAATTTTGTCTGGAGAGGGTAGAACATTGATTGGAAGAGATTGTCTTCAAAGGAAAACTAAGGAGGAAAAGGGACAGAGAGAGAGAGACTGTCCATTATATTTGTTGTTGATACGAGCCCACAGCCATCCTTTTTTTTCAAAGCATCGAGCCTTCCACAGTCACACCTGCAGCACGCAGGGGCAGATCAGTGCCAATATAGTCAGCTGATGTGCCTGTTTCCTCTGCAGAGTTACTTTCTCCTAACTGGAAAACCTTAGACTGAATTGCAATGCTGGCCCAGCCAACCTGGACTCGTTTGACCAGCAGTGTCTCTACCAGATCCTAGGCAAGGGCTTTTAGCACATTTAGCATCTCAGATACTAGACTGGAGATGGGATGGCCCATGGAAAAAGAAAATGGGGGAAACTCAAAAAAGTCTTATATGTCCTTGCAGAAAAGTGTGCTTTCTGTCTAATTGTGGGGGAGGGAGATTTTTCTGGAGTTCTTCCAGGCTTTCACATCTTTGTATTAGATTATATGCCCAAAATGCACACTTCCATGAAATTATGGCCTGTTTCCTGTGTTCAATATTAGCCTGATTTTCTGTCCCGAATCTACTGATTGTCAATACCCTGCAACACTCATCTCTCTTTCCCTTCTACTACAACAGTATTTTAACATTAGGGCTGCATGGTACCACCTCAGGCAAGCTGCATTTGGAGACTGAACTGAGTTTGGGTGCTGTGAACTGGGTTGGCAAGTTGGAGCTCGTCAAGCCACAGGGTTGTACTGCAGCTAGAACTATCCCAAGTCCTGGGAGAGCCCATTCAGTGTGATACTTAGAGTGTCACACGAGGAATAGAGGAACTCAGGTTCAGATCCGCATTTTGCCATGAAGGCGACTGGGTGACCTTGAGCCAGTCACTCTCTTTCAGCCTAACCTAGCACAGGGAGTTGTGATCTTAACCGATTGTGAGGTTAACAGAACATGTAGGCTGCCTGGAGATTCTTGGAGGGAATATGGATGGAAAAGTAATCAATAGACTGATGCATAGGACCCATGATAGCCCCACGCAGGGCTTTGTCCTTTGACACAGCAATACTTACGTCACGTATCACTTCATAGAGTGCTTTAAAGGTGGGCTGCTTATCATCATGGTAGACACCCCTGTTCCCATGGAGAATGGATATGCCGTCTTCCTCTGCTCCTTTGCAATTACTGCCATACATGCAGTGATCTGGCCGGTAGTTCCATTGGCAGGGAAACAGGTAGAGACATTCTAGGAAACCCAGTTAAGGGGGGAAATGATTTCACACAGCACAAAGCATTTGCTATCCATCTAGGCACTGGCACTAACCTCAAAACCTGCACATATAATCAGAAATCTGCAAAAGATAAACTATACAAATTAGAGGCAGATGTGTGTATATTTCATTCCAATAATTTTACTGGTTACAAGATTTGAGGTTATGGCTTGGGGGAAAAGGAGGAATAGAAGGGTTATCAGATTAGGGCAATTTTTGAACAACTGGTTAGGAAATGCCAGCTTTAAGCAATACTCATTTATTCCGGTTTGTTTCCTAAACCAGCTCCCCCAGTTTGGGTTCCACCAGATGTTACGGACTAAGTCTCCTATCAGCCTAAGTCAGCGTAGCTACAGCCACAAAAATGAGCAATAAAAAGCCCTCTGCTTCATTTGTCAGTGGACCCTCAGTCATGGAAGCCAACAGCTTCACAGATGGTTCCTGCTTAAGTGGTAATCTATTATCATCTTTAGCACTGGAAGTTCAAGAAGACATTTCAAAAATGGGAGTGTAAGCCATTGCTTCTTTACCAATATCCAAAGGAGACACATAAAAAGAATAGAAAATATTATAGAATATGAACATGCATGCATCATACACGAATGTATCGTTTGTGCACTATGTACCTGGATTAAAGTAGAAAATAATATTGAGCAAGTCCTGGTCTCCCCATGTAATGTAGTTTTTGTACTTTTGATATAAAGGGTACAGCATCTCTTCCCATGTCAAGCCTGCTGGTATCATGCTGTTCTGAAAGACAAGAAGAAACAATAAAAAGTTCGTATTAGTAGAATCACAGCGGGAGGAAAGCAAAGCAAAGCGTGTGCATCCCTGCTGGGTTCTTGGAACCAAAGAGCACAGGAAGGAAGGGTTGCTTTGCACAGGATGGTCCTGTGATCACATCCATGCTCAGCTGGAGGCACAGATCCCCACACCTGTCCAGGTAAACTATGAGGGAAATTTGGGCCGTCTGCTTGTGAGCAATGCCTCCATTCTGCTCTAGTCTGATCCACTCTAGCCATCCCACGTTCTACCTTGGCTCTTTTCCCCCAGCCTGTCACATTCTGCCCCTGAACTGTCATTCAGGCTCCATCCCTTCCTGCCAGAACCTGGCTCAGTTCCCTCCTGCAGGACGGGACATAGCTCTGTGGCAGAGCTCAGGTTTCATACGCATATCTGACAGGACACTGGTAGATGGTCATCCGTACAGTTGAATCTTTGGTAAACATTCTTCAAATGATTGTGATACCTTGAATTGTTCGTGTTTTACCAGCCAGGTATTTTATAAACATGAAATAGGTTATTTTCTAAATTCCTCTGGGCCCCACTCTGCCATGAATATACTTGAAAAGTTGCGCCTTTCAATTAAAGAGGATGGATTTACCTTCCCTGATCTCCTTCTATATTATCAGGTCAGTTTCCTGACTTGTATTGAATGTTGGTCTTTTCCACTCAGATTAGGCTTTTTTGCCCTGGTCAGCTTTGCAATCTTCACAGTTGGATCATCTACACAAATGGATTGCACTGGATTCTCAATATACCAAAACAAAAAGAGAGCCTCCTATAATTGAGGCTCTCAGAGTTGCATGACACACAGTTTCACATTAACTGCAGTCTGATTTTTTTTATTTTTTGGCACGCAGCATTAACTCTGTGGGGAAACCCAGATTTAAGTGTTGGCAAGACGTATTTATTTGGCAGGCTGACAGGATGATTTTTACTTTGGATCAATTTGTAAGTCCCAATGATAACTTTCTGCCACTCTCTGTTCTGCATGCTAAACATGATTTGCCAGTTATGGTTGAATGGCAGTGCATACAACTGAAACATCTGTTAAAATCTAGGTTTGCTGCTTTTACATCTTCACAACCCCATTGTTATTGATTATAGGCTGAACAGCATGTGCAAGGTGTTTATTTCCAAAAACAAATTTAAAAACTTACCTTGAACTGGGTACTTCTTATCCGAGTTAAATTCATCAGCATGACCCCAGAATTGACCCCAGTTGTTCCATAATATGGGTGGCGAGCAAACCGGCTGTACCATCCAATCTTTGGTATTTCATGCTCTGGTGCCATTGCAGCCAGCTGTGTGGAGTTGAATGCTCGAAGAAAGTTCCAGATGTCATCGATGGGTCTCAAGAAGAGGACATCTGTGTCCACATACAGAAGGGAATCCACATCTTTTAAAATCATCTTTGGAAATGGCCAGGAGTTGGAATAGAAAGGAAGGAAACATGACACAAAGCAGAAAAATTACAGGCCAAGAACTCTTTTAAATCATGTATACTTGCATGACATAAGACAACATGCAACCTTTGACCAAAAGAAAGCGGTGTGCTGTACAAATATATCAGGGTCTACAAAGCAAAATGACTGCCATGTTATGGAGTCCAAGAAGATGAGCAGAAGTAGGGAAGAAGGGTAGGGTTCCTTTCTACATGGGATAGGGACAACAAGCCTCCTCCAAAAGGAAGCTAATAAGTAACAACAATAAAACCTTTTTTTAAAAAAATCACATCAGTTTTAGTATTAAGTTAAAATTAATTTTTGAAAAATGCTGGAGCACAAGACCAGCAGTGGAAACACACTCATATGACCAAGTCAGGGCCCTGCTCTATTACCTAATGATGAACAAGTGATAGCTCATCATCTACAAGAGTGGAAGCCTGGAAAAGACAATCCTGGGGGTAGAGGCACCATGTGATAAAAAGTTTTCAGGCATCCAGGTGGTCTTTTGAAGATTGTGATCTCACCTTAATCTGATCACATGAATTATCCCTAAAAAGATTGTGGCTAGTTTGCCAGAAGGAGAGTGTTACCAAATAGGTGCAGTCTCATTTCCATTCTTAGCATCTAACATTTGACTCTAAAACCTCAAGTTTTGTCCAGAAAAATGTACTAAGCAGAAGCTTAGACAGCCAAGACAAGAACACAACTCTGTATATTACATGAACTATATTTCCATAGACTACACAACTGTAGGAGTTCCTCTTTGTATTTATGAAAGATCTCAGAAATATGCAAATCTCTACATTGGTCCCTAATATAGTAAAATCATCCACACAAACCTACTGATTGCTTTATCCAGAACCCCAAGAAGAACCATTGGAAAGCCCCCAATAAATGCATCATAGCTACTTAGTCACCCATTCATACCATTAGCATCTCTCAAGAGACCTACATTATTAAAAAGTCCACTTGCACTCTTCCCCTTTGTGAACTAAACACCCAGGGCAGTAAGTCAAATGGATAATTTCTTTCCTTTTCCCTTTGGTGTAGAGGAAGACGCCTTTGCAAAAGTAAGAATTTTTAAAGGAAATTTAGGTTTGGAATAGTTAGTTCTTCTACTTGCATCAAAGTGAACTGGTCTGATGCTTTATTCCTCCTCTCAAAGGCAACAAAGATCTCACTCTTCGTATTAGTCAATGCACTTAACCTTCAGACCCTCTTAGCAGGTTCCAGAAGAACCCAAGTTTCTGTCTGGTTGAAGATCTGCTTGTCCAAGAGAACGGCCAACCCATCTCTCATCACTGACATTTCCCTGGATGTTTTATGGATAATTTCTTGCAACCACATACCTAATGGTGATTTCACTCATTTTTAATCCCTAAGAAATGGCCTCCGCATCCTCAGGGCTCTAGTCAACTGCATGAACTCCCAGATCATAGCAAACCTGCAGCCACCTTCCTTCACCTCCACTTAGGAGCAGACAACTGGCAATTCGCTTGCTCTCTTCCCAAGCTGATCCTGTATATTTGCAGGACCAGCTAATAAAGCCTTTATTTAATTTCTCCTGGCTGTCATCTTCTTGCTTTTCCCCACCCTGACCCACTTATCCCTGTCAGGATTTTTTTAATTATTATTATTATTATTATTATTATTATTATTATTATTAACATTTCTATGCCGCCCCTTGCCGAAGCCTTGGGGCGGCTTACAACACAATAAGATACATTGAAATACAATAGAACATAATAAATTACCACTAAAACCATGATACAGCTTCCCCTGGAGACAACGTTGCAAAAAGAAGCATGGTTTATGGTGCAAGTGCCTGCAGGATCAGAGAAGTTGGTACTTGCAAGGACTGGGGCCTGTGTGACCAAGCAGCACTGCTGGGAGCCTGACAGAGGCTCTCCTGCGGTGCTCAAATTGCCCTAGTAATGCGAGTCTTTGTGGTGACTGAGTTACACTCCTGATTTGGTCTCCAACCATGCCTTGGCTCTGCCTGTTACTGACCCTGGTCTTAATCTGCCTTGCCAAGTATCTGACCTTTGCTTTTGCCTCTGGTTCTGCCCTACTTTGTCAGTATCTGACCTTACCTGTTCCTGGTTCTGCTTTTGCCTATAGCTCAGTTCCTGGTGTAATGTACCACCATCTTTGGTTAAAGATCCTAAGCCGTGCATTCAGGTACATGCACATGAGTGGAATGTGTTGACTAGGACAAGTGTCAGCAAGAACACGAAAACGACACTGGCACTGCCTCATACAGTCCCCCTTTGGCCCATCTAGCCCAGAACCACCAACTCCAACTGGGAGTGGCTCTCCAAAGTCCTGGGCACAAGTCTTCCCAAGCTCTCCATCTAAGGAGGCAACTCTATGTATGTTTAGACAGGAAAATATCCTGCATCGCTCAGCATCCCCCAGGCTGGCATGCTCCTCCCCGCTCTGCATCTGAGTCAGGCCCCTTCCCCAGCCTGTTCACTTTTGAACTGTGGACAAAACTGTGATGTCAGATGGATCTCCGTGGGTAATTTGCTCGTTATCTCAGCATCAATCAATGTATCAAAGAGTCTGTCCATTCTTGTTCCCAGTGTGCCCTCTTGTGGTCAGCCAGTGATATATGTATCCATTTATAATTTCCTAAAAGGCACTTTAATTCAAATGCAGCTGGGTTCCTCTTTCCTGTTTTACTTTCATTCTATTGTTACTTTCATTCTACTGTTACAGAAATGTCTCCCTTTGTTTCTTTCCTATGAATTATTCTCATATTGAATAGTTTCACTGTAGCTCGAGTGGGGAAACTGAGGCTGAAATATCTATTATGAAATAACCTTCACTAGACCTTGGGCGAGTCTCCCATTCTCCCTCCAGGGAGACAAATAAAACACACAATCCATGGATGGTCCAGATCACCTTGGAAGAAGGGCGGGCTTTTTTTAAGGCAATCAGGATTGGAAGGATACAAGGACGACCCTTAAAACCATATACACCTATAAACAGTTCTTAAAAATTGAATTGGATTTAAGTAAGATGGATGATCACCTGTTAAGTATTAAAAAGTCCCACATGGGACATATTCAGCAGAGAAAAATCTTGAATGCCAAATCTGAATTGATAGACTAGCCTTGAGTTTTCAGTGCCTGAATTTCAAATGTAATATAGTAGCTTCCTTGCTTGAGCAATTAGGTGGTCATAATCTTGTCTAAGCTGATGATAAAAAAATCCTCCTGATAAATGAAATAAGCCACAAATTCCTATCTGCTTTACATGAAGTTGGTCTGGATTGCACAATAAGGAATTCATTTACACAATGTATCCTGAAGAAAATACAGACATTTTGCCATGAAAAATTCTCATTTAAGAAATGATGCTTTATTCAATTTCTGGCAAAGGTGGCACTTTGGCCTCAGACATCTGGCTTTCTATTGCACTTCTCCACAGGTTTTTTGCTTTTATTATTCTCTACTGATTCACTCCCTGTCTCTCCAATGCATATGCAGTGGAATTTGCAGAGCTCCTCTGTTGTAATGATGGACTAAGGCTGAGGAGACCCAGGTTCTACTCCCACTCGTCCATGAAGCCCCCTGGGCAATTTTGGGCCAGTCACTGGCTCTTGCTCTAACCTACCTCACAGGGTTACTGGCAGGATAAAACAGAGAGGAGGAAAACCTTCTATTGCTTGTGAGGGAAGAAAAGGCAAGCTATTGATATTAGTAAAATAATAAGTCCAGGATGCTACCAAAGAATTAATGTGTGCCATTTATTCTGACTCCTTGAGCACCAATGTCTGCCCCCCCCCCCCGCACCTGCACAGAACTGAACCAAATCCAGAGGCCAGCAGAACAGCACTGGGTCAACACCACACCTTCCTCGGGATTTAGGGAGAGAAGTGTCAGTGCGGGTGGATTAAGCCAAGCGTTTCCTTGCAACATGCCCGGTTAATGGCAATATGATCAAGCTGAAGCTTGAACTAAGAAGCTCTAAGATCCTGTTATCCTGCTGATAATTCTATAATCCTGTGACAAGAGTTCCTTGCTCCTGATCAAAAGAGGGGCACTTGGGACGTTAATCGAGGTATGATGTTCAGCGGGTGTGACTTCCTTGTGCGGGTGCTGTGTGGATAATAGATAGGCACAGTGCCCGGTCATGAAGCTATTAAAAGCACATGAGCCTGTTTGCACTCGAGGCACTGGAAGCAAAACTGCGATGGAGAGCTGTTTCTCATTTAAAAGACACGCCTGAACTGGATTCACTTTCCTCTTTACGGGCTGCGGGGACGGGCTTCCATCACGCTTCAGCAAGGGAAGATGAGAAGCAGAGCCGTTGCATTAGCTCTGGTGGAAGACTGACTTCATCAAGGTTCCTCCTTTCTTGAACAGTTTCCATTTCATCTTGTCATTATAAGGCTACTATTTCACTAAGTTTACTTTTTCTCTCTGCCCTTCTCATCCCATTTTCCTTTTGTGCCGTGTCTTTCAGATGCCAGCAGGGACTGGCTTATTGATTTTATGAAAGCCACCCTCAGAGACTTTTTTTTGGCTAAGGAGCATGATAAAAATGCTTTAAATAAAAGAAAGCATTGTCACCTGATGAGTTCTATAATAAGAAGTGCACTGCATTGTGTGAAAGTATAAGAAACCAGCACTATGACCGACAGAACACTATCAATATTACTTAATGCATTTGTAATAGTAACTCATCCAATATGATGCGGTTTATTAGGAGTATATTGGGAAGGTGGGGTGGAAGAAAGAAAACTAAGGATGATACTTATGAAATGAGAAGGAACATTACGCTACATTTTAATATTTTTAATGAAGTTTTTCTTGACAAGTCTAGGTATACTGACATGAGCTGAAATGACACTTTGATTCCATCATTCTTTAAGAAAATGTTGCAGAATGTAGCTGCAAAATAACAGAGCTGTAGCACTACTTCCTTATCGCCTTTTTGCCCTGTCCCCTTACAGATGTGTGGGACTACAATTTCCAGCATTCTTGACCATTGCACATGCTGGCTGGGGATGCCAAAGTACACCTGCAAAACATCTGGAGAACATCTGGCTGGGAAAGGCTGTGTCAGAGCTTGGTTTCTCAAGATATGTCCTGGGAGTTTACAATTTATCACAAGTGGTGTGCATAAGAAAGCTCCACCCCCACATTTTGCTCTGAGGAAGTCAGTTAATAATTTTACCATAACATTCCTTACGGTGCAACTTCTGGATGGGTGCATCTTAAGTGAAACTGCCTGAGAAACTTGCTATTTCAAATGGCACATGGGAAGTATCTACAGTGAGGTTCAGAATCCACAAGTCCGTAACAATAGGTGTAACTGCCATTAAATTCAATGAGATCTATTTTTCAGTAGATATGCATAGGACTATGCTGTTAGGTTAAACTTTTGTTAATCGGAGTTGGGCAATGAACAAGTAGTAATAGTAATGCTGGAAAAATGCAGTAAAAAAGCAAAGTTGGGCAGCACAGATCTATTTACTTAACCTTTAGGAAGCAGTAGCCAAAACACTTCATAATTCACAAGATAAAAATGATGCTAATTCACTCTGATCATCTTTGTTCTGCCTTGAAGGTTGCCCATGAGGCTAATGAACTCATAGCAGATTAGCTGCCAGGCTTACAGGATCATGGAGATTAAAGACAGGAAGAAACCAATTCTTAAAACACAAGTTTTCACATGCATGAGTCTAATACACACTTCTTCAACCTAGTGCCCTGGCATTCTGACTGGGAATGATAGGAGTTGTAGTCCAACCATACCTGGAGGACACCAGGTTAGAGAAGTCTGTTCTAATCTATTGTACAGGTTGGTATAACAGCACAGCATTTTGGACCTCCTTGGAAAATCAGACATGGACCTGAGTGCAGCCAACACTGCAGCTCAGAAGTTTGCGCAGAAGTGATTGTCTGATGTTCCTTATCTATGTGCTAAGCCTAAATAATTATAATGCAAATCCTGAAGCATACTAATCAACAGAGTTTGTTGCAGGCTGGAACATCCAAACCTTCCAAATCCAAATTCCAAATAAAGAAGGATATTAAGATAGATATTAAATAGGAAGTTAGCATAAGTCATTTTGGGTTCTTTGCAAGAAGAAAAAACACAGGACACATATGCAATAAATAGAGGAGGAGCCTGTTCTTTTCTGCTGCCATCTCAAAAGGAATAAATCTTTTTCTGAAGCTTGTATTAGCATAGGGAGGAAGCCCCCCATTGATACCTGTGGAAGATCTGCTTGCAGTACAACTATGCCTTCAGAAAGGAGTTTCCTCAGGATAAAATCAAGGGAGGAAAGGGTCGAATGTCCCTTCCACTTATGTGTTGGCCCAAATAATGATTAGCCTCTGCCCCTCATCCCTCCACTAGGGCATTTTTCAAAACCTGCATGTAAAATGCCAAGACGCATTTAACATCACATCTAGTCTGGCTGATTGCATGTGGAAGGAGCAGGCTGGCTGGTCACTCCTATTCCCAAGCCTCTTTACACCAGGTCAGTTCCTTGTCCTACCCATTTGCTGCCCTCATTGGCCACTGGAATGGTCACTCAGCCCATGAAGTTCCTTTACAGTAGGGTCACAGGATGGCATTTATTATTCTACATGGAAACCTGGCAGCCCAGACTTGTGCCACCTGGCCTGAAGAGTCGAGTAAGGAGTACTTTTAAAGCTTATTTAATATATTTCCACCTCACCTTTTAAGGAACAACTGCACAAAGAGTTTACCCCCTCCCACACCAAAAAAAAAAAAAAAAGATGAGAACTGGAACAAAATGTTCTGCCAGTAATATGCCACATGCTAAGTTACTGTTGTTGTCTCTCAATGTATTGGCTACATCAAGTCCAATGTTGGGCTGGGGAAAGTGGAGAGAATCCAACATGGCCCCGCTGTCTCCACTGCAATGTGTCACCAGGGTCAAATGCCAGTACAACTAGAAGCTAGTGTCGCCTAGAGCAACTCTGGAAATGAGGCAAAGTGCCCGCTTCCAGGATGTGACAGGTCAGCAGAGCTCCCTTCCGTAAGCTCTGCTGACCTGTTGCAATCTAGAAATGAGCTTTTCAGCTTGTTTCCCGTTGCTTTAGGAAGGATTAGCTTCCTATTTCTCCAGCAGTGGATCTCACTGGCATGCGGACAGCACTGGATGAGTCCTGATGCCTTTATTTCGCTTTTTAATAATGGTGTGTCTTTTTTTCAGTGCTGCTCAACTTACAAAATAATCACCAATGATGGTTGGTTTTTGGAGGAAGAGAGGTAAAGGAGGAGGATCAGCATGACAGGCCTTTAAAGAGAGGCACTACATCCATTTTTGCAAGAGGTCTCATAATTTCCAAGGTTAATACCAGAATCTGTGTTCACATGCTTTAGGCTTCATTGGGGTGCCTTACCGGAAGAAAGAGACGCTGGGCAGCACATGGCTTGAATAATTTTTTCCATTCCTGAGAATTTCCTACAGAAAAGGAGATTGGGTAGACATGATATTCAAACTTCTTTGTGTAAGAGGGAGGCCATTCTTGTAACTGTAAAGCATAAGGAGGAAAGAGGGATTAGAATCCCCGAGTGGCAGTTTGTGGAAATGCTATTGCTACAAAGTCAAGCAAATTAAAGTCCTTACTCAAACTGAGCTTTATTGAGGACTTACTACTTTATCCAGTCATTAACTTGTGATTGTTAGAGCACTTCTAAGTGCTTCTACAGGCTTATAATCGAAAGATCTCAGGTGGTATGTGCTTTTTAAAAAAAATACTGACAGGGACTCACTTTCCTCTCAAATTCAGGCTTCAGAGAATCCTCAGAGAAGATGTGAAATTTGAGCTTCCTGTGGCTGAAGAGAATTGCTGATTTCAGCATGACGAGGGTTTCTTCCAGCCGGTCGCCACATGCTACCACTGCCAGATGCATCCATTGTGGAGAGGGGAGCTGGGGTGTTGAATGCTTTTGGTCTTTCGGTCTCCTAAAATAGCACACACACAACATCAATTTTAAAAATGCACTTGAGTATTATTTTCTTTTTTTGGAGTCTTGACATTAAACGCGGGGAGGAGCAGTTAGGGAAGAAAGGTGGGCATGTAGAATGGGTGAGAAGAGTTTCTTAGGGTGATTTTCATGAGGTCTCCAAGCCTGCCCAATTTCAGGTGCTAACACCCTTGGTTATCTTTTGTGGACACAATTGTTTCCTTATACTGAGAGGAGGCGCAGAATTAAATTTTAGCTTCATGTTCAAATAGCAAGTAAAGCAGAAGGTTCATAAATACAATTACGGTTGTCAAACTAAAGGCTGGGTCATTTCAGGTGTTACAGGAGGCACGACCAGCCAAAGACACAAATGATTCACACTTCTGGATTGCAGGAATACATTGGCAGACATGCAAATCATGACGATAAACCGAAGGCCTGCATGTTCAGGAGGGTAGTTATCTATCGTGGCATTTCTTGGCACAGGGTTTAGTCGTGCTTCCCTCCCACACATCAGGAACGGACAACTTCTTGTGATTTTGGCCTGCCGCTCCCACCATCCCGTCCCATGAGCCATGCAGTCTAGGGATGAAGGGTGCAGTCAGGTGAAAACATCTGGAGGGCCCCAAGTTGCCCATCCCACTATATAACCTCTATTACCTCTCTGCTAGCTGCCTCCTGCCCCACTTAACTTGTTGCCAGCACGTAACTCGTTGCCAATTTTCTTCAGAAATTCAAAGACATATATACATAGAAATTGCATATGCAAAACAATGTCATTAATCTGAACAAATGCTTCGTAATACATAATGATGGCTCCCTCAGTGCAAGAAAGCAAATGGTCACAGGACTGGGACATTTCACTGCAAAGGAAACATGGCTTTTGCTGCCCTCCACTAACTAAAATAAGTTGCGCAATAGCTGCCGCTCTATATCACAACACAAATCAACGTGTGCCTTAAGGGACGCTGGTTTTCAGTACCAGGCTGGTTCAGCAATGCAATATATTTCATTAATTGCTTAAAAGTCCATAGGCTTTTGTCTTAATTAAAAATCAGTTTCTGTAGTGGATAAAGGATGGCACACCACATTTATGCAAATTGTATTTACTTTGTAGCCAATTAGTCCAACCCCCTGAATTATTAAAGTGTATAATTGGCTGCTTGCATGGATTATGGTCTTTCCACTTTCTTTGTGCTCTACTTTCTGTCTGCTTCTTCTGTGCTTATTCCTAATTGCATCACTAAACCTTGAAAACCAACCACTAAACTCATTGAAAATGAACACTGTGATCTGGGCTCTTGGCCCTGAGTGCCAATGGAGGCATGTGGAAACCCCAGCTGTTTTGCTTATGCTGCAGCTGGAATGTTTCCTGCCACAAGTTACCTGCATGAAGGACACAAATGTTATGCATACTTTTGAGCCATCAAGGTTGGCATCTAGCACAAGATCCCTGGCACCATTCATTTAATCGGTGTTCCCAATTTCTGGGGATGCATGTAGGAAAATTAAGGGCACAATCCTATACTGAAGATAGGCCAGCCGAGGAACAGTAGGATTCAGCGGAAGCCCCACTAACCCAGCATTTGCTGAATGGGAGGAAACCACATGCAGAAGCAGCCGCCTTGCCTGGATGAACGCTTCACCCACATCACGGTAGCAGATGGCAGGATATGCTGCCGCTCCACAGCAATAAGCTTCTGTCAGCTCAAGCACTGAATTCAGTTTTGGGAAAGCTCTTAGGGGCTGCAATCCAGTGGTGGGTGGAGCGGAAGGCAAGAGGAGTAAGGCCAAAAATGCAAGCATATTTGTATTTTAAAACTCGTACTGTCAGTAACTAACCCTTGGGAGTGGCATTCCAAACTTTTCAACTGGGAAAAAATACACGACGGCCGGGAAGCTATGAAACAATTGGTGGCAAGGACATGAACCCTCTGTTTAAAGAACATGCAAGCACAGAGCAGCAGTGCCAGCATAAACGCCCCTCATAAGAGGGCCGCCCCTCAGATGACAGGGCACACGGCCTGCAGCCGCATCTTTCAGGCCCATCCAGCATGCCTGGAGCTCGCAGAGGGAACTCTGGTACCACGGCATCTGTGAAGAGCCAGCTGCAGCCCCAGGGGACCACGAGGGTCAGAGCTGCTGTGACCGGCCTCTGCTGAAGAAATGAGAGAACATGGGCTCCTCACTGTGACCATGCATGAGAAAGAGGAAAGGCTGCATGAAGAAGAGTGAGCTGTAAAGGAGGAAGGGAGCAGAAGTGGGTGAGAGAGAGGCGGAGTGGGATTGCCGTCCCCGAGAAAAAACAGAGGGTGACAGACAGGGAAGAAGGGTGGGAAAGGGCAGCGAAAGGGTGATCTGCAGAGATAAAGAGAGAAGAAAGACAAGCTGTTTTACCCAGTGCTCAATGTTTTACAAAGCTGCCTTTGTCAGCCCTAACAAAGCTGTCTTTCTTGGCACCGGACACGGCTGGTGTCAGGGATGACTGGGCTTGAAGGGGATTCCCTGAAATTCCCCCACAGAGGACTTCATAGGGCAGTGCCTAATTGCTCTCCTCCCCCTCGTTTATTTTTGCATGAGAGCTTCAACTACAGGGTGGTACAGAGAAGAAATGAACAACAACCTTGCTGTAAAGATCTAAAAGCAAAAGTTCTGACCTGTATGAACCAATATATACTAATATATTCTAATATATACTACTATATACAATATAAATTCTCTGACTAAGAATTGCAGTAACTTGAAAGGCACCACCAGGAACTGTGTAACTTCTCCTTTTGCTACTGGAAGGTAATCCCTGCGTAGAGTTACTGCCTTTTAAGAATCAGAAACCAATCCACAGCAGTTGTACCACTGCACAGGATGATACATTCATTGAGATCTGTGCAATCCATACTAATCTGAAATGCAGAAATTACAAAATAAAAGGAGTACAGCTTAAGGTGTGCAACCCATTAATATACCTATAGCTGCAACTCAGTTTTCAGTAAAATATGCTACATATGCAAACAACACATCACTCTTCCGTTATTGTCATGCCTATATCAATAATGGAATGCTGGAGAAACCTGCAACAGATTCAAATGAGTCTGGATGTCTATGAATGCAACCAACGGATTCTGCAGGGGAATAGCTTTTTCCAAGTGAAAAGACTCTTTTTTTCATTAATCTGTTCAGAAAGATTCATCTGTGGGGCAGTATAGAAATGAAGTAATAATAAAAATTATTATTACATTGCATTTATATCCTGTCTGTTTTCCTCTTGTGAGGAACCCAAGGTAGCTTCATGATTCTCTTCCGCTCCATTTTTATCCTCGTAACAAGAACCCCATGAAGTAGGTTAGGCTGGGTGAGCTTCACCCAGTGAGGACCAGAACTCAGATCTCCCAGATCCCCAGTCCAATACTCTCAGCATCCCTTTGGGCTCCCTGGCTCCATCACCACACTGACTCTTATTTGTGCAAGTGTGCAGTAGCGCAAATTAATGCAAGCAGAATTAAAGAACGGTTTACGAAATCAGATTCTGTAAATGACCAGGTTATTGAATGAAAGCCATATAAGAATCTGTGAAAAACAGACGAAACCAATTTAACTAAATCAGAGATGAATTTAACAACTTCTTACTTACAACTGAAATAATATATCCAGCCCACCAAAGCAGATATGTGAAGGCCTGGCCAGAATGCACTGTTTAGCCATTTCCCCCAGGCCCTGCAGGACTATGAACGTTATTTGCAGGTCACACTGAACACACACACACACACACACACAATTGCAAACAACACCTTCGCAGGGAAACAACAGTTGCAGTAGTGATTTTCAGTGGGAAATCAATGTGCAGCAGACAAGGAGGGCGGCGCTTAACTGGGGCTTTGTGGCAGCTTTTAAAAGTGTGGGGCATTCTTTGGCCTGAAAACATACATAGACAGGTTATGCTGCAAAGGGTAACAGAGTCATTGGGCATCTTATTCTGTCTTTCATGTGTTTTGGAGGGCCCAATCGTGATGGGGAAGGGAGTTGAACGTTTTATAGCACCCACATATCATGCTCAGCCAGAAAGACACATAAAGAGATCGATGGTGCCCGTTTCCCAACCCTGAATATTGTTCCCTTTGTTTACCATGTAAAAGTATTATTCAGAAGTGTCATGGAGCCATATAAACTCCTCCGGTTGCCGTACACAGAATCAATTACCTGATCTGTCTAGCCCAGTCTCATGCATTCTGGCTTCAGCACGTCAGCCTCTGCCGCTTGAGCTACTTTATGACCTGAAGATGAGTGCACTGTATCCAAGACCCTCCACATGAGCTCTGTCACTGCATAGCAGCCATCTTCCCCTTCCAATCTGTGCTGAGCAACTTCCTCAGAGAAATAGTCTTTTCCTTGGAGAACAGTTATCGTTCAAATGTGCAGGGTTTGGAAGGAAACTTTATGAGCAGCCTTTTATTGCTTTGCTTTTCACCTAATAACTTGCCGTCTGACAGTTGTCAAATGAGGAGTGAAGCAATAGAGGGCACAGACCCATGCAAGTTTGGACTAAAAAATGGCCTTTAACATTCGCTGAAAACCAAGGGGGCAAATTCCTACCTCAAATTGCTCCACCCACCTTTTCAAAAAGGAAAACCCATTTGACAAGCACCAGACTTCAGCTGTCGAGCTGAAGTCCCTTTAAAAATGGAGTTTTGAAGGGGTATTGGGTGAGCATACTTCTCAAGATGTCCTAAGCCAATTGCCCCCGTCCTACTTAAACTCACCTTTTGGAAAGGAGAACAAAGTTTGACTTAGACATGTTTTCCCTTTTTAAAAGTTGGGGGGATATTTTGACTTTGCTAGAGCCCCCAGAGGCTCTGGGCAAAAGGCAAACAGGCTCTACCATGGGGGATACTAGGGGAGAAAGCAAGAAGAGGCTTTTGCGAGACACCCATTGGGAGCAAGTGGGAATGGACTTCCCACCATGACTGGGACAATGTGCTGCTCCTTCCCTGAGCCCACCGCTCTGGAGACTGTCCCAGTTGTTCCACTGTGCTTCAGTGAGTGAACACTGTTGAACACGAGGGACTATCAGAGAGAGAGGAAGTGCCCGTTTGTGGCCAGCTTTTGCCATCCTGGAAAGAAAAATATAGGATCAGCTGCAGCAAGAGGAGATCAGTGTACGATCATGGCTGTCAAGGAGAGGGGAGTTGGGAGGAATGAGGGGAAAGGATGGGGTGTAAATAAATAAATAAATAAATAAATAAAACCCGTAATCTTTTCCTCCCATGATCGTTTGGTAATGTGAATCCCCAGTCTGCAACTAGCTGTGCATGCTGTTGCTGAGGCGGAGGGAGGGTGTGGGGGAGGCCAGCGCAGACCGTTTGGCCCTTCAGAATAAGCAGGGTTGGGAGCAGGTCGCTCATCTCCTTTGGAATGCTAGATGATAAAACTCTCAAAGTATAGCCTTGGAGCATAAGCCAAGCAAAATTGCATAAGCAAGGCTATTCTGTTGCTTTCTTCAGCTATTTTTATTAAATTCCATAAACAGTCTATGCAGTTGTACGTAGAGGTGGAGTGCAGCTTGTGTGGAGTAGACAGGGGCCATA